AAAAACATTTCTCAACGTTTCATCTGGAAAAATCATTCTCAAACTAAAAAAAATATTAAAAACGTTTTTTTACTCATCCCGTCAACAATATAGTGAGAAAACTGTGTAGGAGAAGCTCAGTATGATGTTCATGCATTAACAAAAAATGTAATTTTAGATGGGAGATCGGTTTGGAGAAACAAATTTCTCAACATTTCATCGTAAAAAAACTTTCATCACTGCAGTAATTCGACGTTGGAGGTGTGAAAACCCGACTTCTCATACATTCGAAAATATAAAATAAAATTTAGTTACAACCAAAAAACATTCTAAATAATTTTGAACGGATCACATTGATAAAGTCGTGAGAAAAACATGTACAGTCGGGAATCCGACTGTCGTGTCTCAGCATTAACAAAAAATCTCCCCAGAGTAGGGGAGATGAGTTGAAAGGGAAAAAAATGAAAACATCAGGAGAAAAATGTTTTACGATTTTCAACATTCCCACAGTTAAAGGCAATATGTGACGATGGATAAACCCGTCGAAATACACATGAAGCATACGTATTTTCCCTCATTGCATATTGCACTGGAAACCGTCTCGTTATTAATAGCTACTGCGCATTATCGTTCATGCGTGGCCGTGCGAGAAGTCAGGAGTCACTAATCTTCATGAATCAAGTGGCGATATGCGTTTATTTCGTATACAGCGGCGACTTAATTGCCACTTGTACTGTCATATTTTGTTTCGCCCACGATCACGTTGAGAAAAAAAAAGAGAACCAAGTAATGATAAAGAAGTGAAGATTTATTTGAAGTGCGAGAAAGAGAGAACGATAAAGAACATAAAAAACAAATAATGGTGATAAAGGTGGCCAGTGAGGTCGATAATACTAATTCTCAACATTTTTCCACGATAATGCGAGGACGATGCCTCCTAACGATATGCATATCGAAATGCGTAATGGCGTCCATCGAATTGTGCAGTCATTAGTGGTAGGGATGAAGTGATAATGCTGGTCGAGGTGCTTTCACTCCAAACCACTTGTTTTTTTTCCTTCTTCTTGTTTCCGAACTTTTTGACAAAGTTCAATGAGGCACTAATTATTCACATGAATGATGGTATGAATGACTGAGGATATGAATAGGTTTTTAGGGTTGAGTTTTGAGATCAATAAATACACTCGGTTATATTTTTAAATTATTTTTTAATAATTTTTGATAAAAAATGATATAAATCGGGTACTTAATAACAAGATAATAAGTATTATAAACAAGGGGACTAAATACAAATGTACAATGGATTTTTTTCTTCTCATCATTAAAGTTAGTCGTTAGCACAACTTCTTTTCATTTTGTTATTTATAGTTTGTAACTTAATAAACTAGAATCCATAACTTAGAGACATCATTTTTTTGTTTTTTTTGTGATTTTTGTATATAATGAATAGTTTTTTCATCTTTCATTACATTTTTAATGATAAAATCTGTTTATAATCCAGAGTAGCACGCGTTCACTGGTTTATATTGAAAAATAATAAAAAACGAAACTGAATTAATGAATTAATCGAATCATCCATCATCTTTCGTGAAAACAAAAAAATATATATAACGAGGGGATTTGTTACGGAGGAAATAATAAACAAAAGAAATGAGAGAGATAAGAGAGACTCGGTAGAACAGAAGAGGGGATAAAAAAAACAATTGTGAGGTTGACTTAAATAATAAAATTAAAGGAAAATCACATAAAAGCGTAAAAGAAAAATGCGAACAAAACAATATAATCCCTCAATATTATTTTTTCTCTATTAACGATAAGGTGAACCCAACGACAGTCATATAGGCATTGCGAATTTTACATTGTGTAAAAATATTGCTACGTTCTGTCAGACGTTTTTCTTTAGTCACTTTTCTCTTTCATTATGATTTCTTTTTTAAATGACTCTGTTTATTGTTTTATATTCTTCCATTCCTTTTTTTTCTTCTTTTTCCATTAAATATCGTAACTCTGTTTGCAAAAAAATAGATAAACATACGCCAATCATCTGCTCATTATTTTCATTTTTATGTATGTTTCTTTTTTTTTCACGTAGAAATTTTCGCTGAGGACAGTCACCCTCAATCTCGCAGAAATAATATTGCACTTTGGTGTACTTTCCACATTGTAGCTATATCTCTCCCTTGTGAAAACAACTCTGTACAATATTTTTTTTTGTTTCCACTTGGCAATCAAATCACATTCCACAGTTCGAAATCGAATGGAACTCGACTACATATTGCAACTGTGCCCTCAGTGGACAAAAATTGAGGATGATTCATCATCATTCAGTTCAAATCAGTGTTCCACATACAAATGTCGCAGATCGAAATATGGAATGAATTTGTTGAAATAGCAAGGACTAGTTAACGACATAATTTTTTTTTCATTCAAATTATTACACCACATAGCACATTCTGCGAGCGAAAGAGTGAGCTCCCATAAGCGTAAGATTTCCATTCTGCTCTACAATTTATTGTATCCAAAATATCTCAACGATGGTGAATTTGATTTGATTTCTCTGTGATGGCGGATTCTATGAGTGATGGCATTCAGAATTACGAGAAGTTTGTCTAAAATAAATCAAATAAGGTGAACGAAAATTTGCTCATCATTCTTGAAGCATCTTGCTTTCAGTTATTTGAATAAGCCAACGGTTCTTTATGCTGTACGAAAAAAAAAAGAAAAAAAGTTGATAATTAAATTTTATTTTGACTCCTCCCCCATCGCCTTTAAATTGGACATATATACATGCTAAGAATTTGTTAAAAACTACTACACATCTATCCGTTTATCAATCATATGACTTTTAAAAATTGAAAACCCTAATTGTAACACGATTTGAGTATCATTAGTGAGAAGTGTTCAAAATGACGTTTACTATTAACAGGGGAGGGGGGTGAGGGCGAGTGATGGGGGAGGAGAGGGGGAAAAGTAGATACATCTTAACGTATTTGAGCATAGATTTGTAACTCGTCAAGTGAATCCAATCGAGTTTATTTGTCTGAGTTTAAATGCGTTCTTTAGTGAACACTTCTTAAGATGATACTCATTAATAATAGATGATGTGAAGTTGGTACGAGGAATGAAAAGGCACTCATCAATCCGTGAATTGATATTCGGAAGCACCAGTGACGATTTAATTGTCAGAATCGAAACTTTTTCATTCCTCGATCAAGTCAGCATCGTCAACTCATCAATAGTTTTTTTTGTCTATGTACTCTTCAACATCGATTCAATTGTTTGTTCAAAGAATTTTCCCACCCGTTCATGAAACCTCCCACTCAATAAGTTCTGTTGCTTGCGCCTCTGACGATAATCAATTGTTCGTAATTTTTCTGAATTTTTCATCCACTTCTCGCCCATTTCATTCTTGTTCATTTACGTTTTATTACGAATACCATATAGACTATGAATAATTATGTTTTTCTAATCACAATTTGCGCAAATAAGTAGGTTCACAAGGACAAGTAAGCCACAGAAAGATGATTTTTTTGTTTTTTTTTTTCATGTTTTTTTTTCATCGTTTTTCCTTATATAATTTTTAATATTTAGTGACAAACATTCTCTCGATATCGTATGTTTCTTTTAAATTTTAATTTGAAAAAAGTATCAACCACTCAATTTACAATTCAAAATCCCACCCTTAATTAGCGGACTTAAGTCCACTTATACAATTTTTTTCAAACTTTTTTGGCACCCAAAACTCCTAAAAATACGACAATCAATAGTTAATGAAAAAACCGCCATTCGTTGCTATCCTTCAATCTCAATCCTTCTCTCCCAATTCCACAAATGTCCGTAATCCATGAGAAAAAACATCAGGAATTGCGCCTCACCGTCAACGCTTCGTTAAAATCACGTAAAAGCGTAACATAAAACAACGACTCGTGAATTTACTCTTCTCTGTTCTCCCCCTCCTCAAAAAATTTACTTCATTAAACATTTATGAATTATCAACTCGCGAACGGTAGATCTACTGGCCATTTTCCTCACTCATATTTGGCATATCCAAGATTAAAATTCCCCCAGCGCAATAGGTTTTCCTTCAAATCTCGAGCGGGGCAAAAATAAAAATGAACGAAAGTTAAAAAATGAAAAAAAAAGTACAAAATCAATTGTTAAAATGATAAAACTTGGGAGGATACGCTTGTGGTTCAGCCTGCAATCAAATTGATATGTCTTACGCGTGTCCAAAAGAAATTTCACATCTCGACTATTTTGTGTTCGTTAGTTTCCTCTTATCAAATGGCAGTATCGATATTCTAAGCTTTCATTTTTTCTCGTTAATCAATGAATGATTGGGACGTTTTATTTCACGTAATCTTGTCACCAATTGCAGTCATCTGCTTGTCATGATCTGATTCAATAGCTTTTTTTTTCATGCATTGTTCCAGAAGTATTCACAGCCTGTTTTTTGTAGAGGTTTTCTTTCGATTTTCACTATTCAGCTACACATTGCTACATGTGTAATATCTTTAATGCTGTCATACTACGGAGTATCCCATTTCAACTGACTCGAAATAATTTCCAACAACAAACCCGTCTCCCCCC